GTCGGCATTGCCTGAGGGCGCATTAGCTTGCAATGAATTGGAGGAAGTGTGGTATCATGGGACTTCGTCATGGAGTGTATCACACACTTTCGTCCCTCTAAATTGGAGAAACCGTACCTCCCGACGATCATGGATGAGCGTGATGGCGTGTTGGTGATACAAGAACATACTGTATCACCATCACCATCGGAAACAAGATACGGTTGAATGATGGTAATGTAGAGCAGCCACTATCCTACCGTACCTCACCTTCCATAGAACTATATTTACAGTTATTATGGACGATCTCAAGAGAGGAAGTAGGGCGGAGTCTTTAGGCTCCCAGTATGGAGTTAACTCACCAAGGGGGCACTCTGAGGAAGAACAAGTAGTGGTGGGAATGTCGGCTATCATGTTGGAATATACGTTTGGTTTTCTCAGCTGAGTTCAGGAGTTTCTTCACTGCACTGCGAGAATGTACACACGACTTGGAGTAGGAGTGTATAAAAACCTACAAAACTTCCCCAAGGTTTTCTCGTTGGTACATACGCGGGTAGATGAGTACTGCATGTTTTCCACCACCGATATCAAATGTCGTCACAGTTCAGGCGGGTCTATCCTAGGTACCCTGTGTGAAGCCATTTGATAGCATGCGGCCACGCTCCACTCTTGATGAGGATGAGCTTTTTCCGTCACTGTGAGGTCAGTTGCCGGTAGAGTGCTATACAGTACATCTGGATGGAGTTATCGGACCAATGCAGAGACACCAGCCCTTCGTAGGAGTCCACATTGGCCGAGGGGGGTCCAAGTTGATCCTTATGGACCAGGTGGAAGTGGCAGATCTTATGGAGCTACGGACGAATATAGCGATGAGTGGTATAGAGAGTGAGATGGATAGTCTGGACATACTCGTTGGGGGTGAGTTACTTAGAGAGGACCTCAGGGTTGCTCCCACGGGCGAATCCCCCCGACCGACATCTGCTACTGCGGTTTCTCACTCTGATGGTTGAAGGAAGTAGCTCTGTCTACTTCAGTTACTCTGTCGGGGGCGTGTAAATGTCATGCTATTGACGACAATGCTTTTCTATGTAGCATGCCAATGCTTCTACTTTTAACACCATGGCCGGGTTGGTGTTGAGTTGATATCATCAATGTGACGGCGACAAGTTGTGTGTTTGGTATTGTTATATCAGGCTTGTATTTTGTTCTTTTGATTTCTCTCTGCGAAACGTGGGCGCAGCTATGTCGAATGTGAATGACAAGGAAGGGATAGCGAGGAGAAGGGCGGCATCGACATCATCAAGTAGCAGTAGCAGCAGTGGCTCGGTGTCCATAATGAGCGACGTCTCACCTGATCACATGGTGCAAGGGTGTATATTGCCGTGCTCTAGTCCGGACCATGGACAGGCAGCAAATGCGGTATCCCCGCGGGGTCTGTCAGAAGAAAGGGGGAGTAAGAAGTGTAAAAGGCGAAAGCAAGTTGTTGTGGTATCTAGAGGCCTGCAGGGGAGTGGAAAAAGTAGTAGTGTAGGAGCCTGTGGGACGTCGAGGTGGGGTATTAGGCACTACCATGCGGACCGTCGCTCTACTGCTGAAGGGGATATGGTTGAATCAGGATGAGTTCCGTACGGCTAGCAAGGGTGGTGGGAATGCTAAAGGGAAGTTTCTGGAGAAGCTCTCGGAGTGCACGTATTATGGTGATCCTGAATACGTTATGGTGGATAGAATTAATACGCAGCTGAGGCATAGGTCAGTGAAGACAACTGCCAGTGACTTCGGAGGGACTAACTTTCATCAGGTCTGATATCTACTACGCTATATGTCCTTGTGATGGGGAGTATCCTGAGATCATTTATTTACAATGGTCGCATCCTGGTGATACGGCGGGTGGTACAGGAGAGGCGGACGTGTCACCATTCGACCCAATCAAGGGAAGGAAGTACTTCGACGTATGCGCGAAGAACGTGCGGAATCGGCATGGAAAACATAAGGTGGGTTATGCTATGTGATAAATTTTTTCATGTGATTGGTTCAGTCCATTGACCGGTACGCTGACATTGACTTCATCCTGGGCTCCACGGCTTCCCAAGCTGAGCCTATCAGCAAGGAGGAGTTGGCGCAGTTCTCGGTGTCCAAGCTCTGCGATATCGATGTGACCTTGCCTCGGAGGGAAATGGTGGAGAGAACTCTGGAGGTACTTGGGAAAGGGGACGAGTTTTCTGAAGAGGAAATAACTGTGGCGATGCGGGAGGTTGCTAGGATCGAGAAGAATATAGTACCTGTCGGTACAGGGAAGGGAGGACAGCCTCGTCGTTCTCCTCCTAGTGAGTGCTATCGACCGCAGCAGCATACCTCCTGGTCCGGCACTACCACTGGTAGTGGTGAAAACCTACCGTCATTGGTTGGCCGCAGTATGTTCCAGCTTGAGTTAACTAGAGAGTCTCAACGACTACTCAGAAGAGCTGTGGGGAAGGGTTGGGGGTATATGGCGACGAAGGGAATCGTGCCTAAGGATGAGTTCCACGTTACTTTGCTCTATGTGGACAGCTCCAATGCGTTCGATCATTACAGTATGAGCCTGGTACGGCAGTTATGGCCACGTATTGGTGACTCGTTCGGGTTCACGACGGCCTTCGCTGTGTGCTCTGATGTGGGTGTATGTGCGGCGCCAGTGCAGTTCCTACAAGCCGTACCATGCGGCAACTTGTATCCCCACATCACACTCGGCGTGTCACCACAGGCCTCTGCTAAGGACAGCAATGACATGCTAGAAGGGAAACACCCTTTAGAGGCACTCAGGGTCCTCGAGCTGGAACTGTCTGGAAACCAAACACAGCTTGAATTGCGAGGGGTCCTTCGGGTTTCTGAGTGAAGTTGATAGTTAGAAGTGCTTGTGATAAATCTCACTCTTCCGCTCCTTATGCGCGGTAGTCTATTTACTGTCTATACTATTGTATCTACTATATGTATGTTACTCTGTTGTTGATTCTTTTGTTATGCAGTTTAGTGTGGGTCAAAGAGGTTGTTCACCAAAGCATTGCTTTTTTCCCATGGCTGGTCGCACGCAGTAGTGTTGGAGGAATATATGTTCGCTTTCCTCAGCTGAGTTCAGGAGTTTCCTCACATACTATGAAAGTTTACATGCGAATTTTTTCTCAGAATTTCCATACGGTTACGAACATATGTAGTGGACTATGTGTATACTCTCCCACACTGACATGCAGAAGTCGGTAGGTCTGGCAGTGTACAATATTTATCTGCCCTCTGTAGAGCAACAGCAGCAGTAGCAGTAGCCAGGACGTGACAAGTTGGGTATTGCCACAGGCGTGGTCAAACTAAGTGTAATTGGGTTACCCTGCTCGAGTGACAAGAGTATGTGATAGATAGCACTACGAGCTGATAAGGGCTGATGTTCTCGAGTTTGGAGTTCGTAGAATACACCATACCGATTATGGTAGTAACCTCATGGGAAGCAGATCCCCATCGTCCTGCAAACCCCTTTGCGAACACTTGCCGTGTTTCCAATACAGTTTATTGGTTTTGTGTTGTAACCATTTGGAATCGTCACCAAAATGACAATTATACAGTTTGATACACTCTTTGAGCTAAGCACGTGACTACCCTCTAGAAATGCCATTAAATTCATTTCTAACCCAGACTCGATTAGGGACGTGACCCGGTCATAATAGATGAGCAATGCCACACTTTCTGTGAGATTCGGAGTATTATAAGTAGCCTTAACTACGCCCTTTGATCCACCCAATACCAACTATCAACTAAACGAAGTGAATAAAAAGACAATGTAAAATGGCACCAATATTAGCATATGATGAGAGCTGTGGCATGAATAATAAAAATGGACCAACCGTGCTTGGGGTACCGCCACTGATAGAACGATTATTGATTGGACAGCTCGACAGCCTTAGCCGCTGCTTCATTGAGATCATCGAAAGCGTAAACCTTGAGTCCAGCATCCTTAATGATCTTCTTGCCTTGCTCGACGTTAGTGCCAACAAGACGGATGACAATAGGCTTTTCCATGTTCAGTTCACTCATCGCTTGAACGACGCCTTGAGCGATGACATCACATCTCATGATACCACCAAAGATATTCACCAAAATACTCTTCACCTTGGGGTCCTTCTCCAGAATCTCGAACGCGGCTCTGACTTGATCAGTTTCCGCAGCACCACCGACATCCAGGAAGTTGGCAGGACTACCTCCCTTGAGAGAAAGGAGATCCATGGTAGCCATGGCGAGGCCAGCACCATTGACCATGCACCCAATGTTGCCATCCAAACCAATGTAGTTGAGATCCCATTTGGAGGCTGCTACTTCTCTGGGGTCCTCCTGGGTAATATCCCTCTGTGAAAAAATATCCTTCTGACGGAACTGAGCATTGTCATCAAAATTGACTTTAGCATCGCATACCATAACACGGCCATCTTTGGTCTCAGCGAGGGGATTGATCTCGACCATAGTACAATCCGACTGACGGAATGTCTCGTAGAGAGCCTTGATGGCAATGACAGCTTCGTCGACGATCTCACCCTCGAAGTCGATCTTCTCGGCCATCTCTCTGGCCTCACCATCAGAAATACCACTATTGATGTCAACAGGAATCTTGATGATCGCCTCGGGGTGTTCAGCGGCAACATCCTCTATACTCATCCCACCATACTTCGACCCAACCATGACTGGTCCACCAAAGGAACGATCCATAAGAATGGCAAAGTACTTCTCTGAGGCTATCTGGAACCTCTCGGAAAGGAAGACGCCGTTACAGATTTTACCAGCCTCCCCAGTTTGCTTGGTCACAAGGGTGTTGCCTATCATTTTGGAGGCCAAATCTTTAGCCTCGATAGGATTCTTGACGATATGAACACCTCCTTGGAAGCCATTTTCCTTGAAGTGACCACGACCCCGACCACCAGCGAGCACCTGAACAGAGAGACAACCCATAGAGGGTCTACTTTGATCTTAACGCCTACCTGAGCCTTTACGACCACGTCTCCACCACCCAATGCCTTGGCAAACTGTTCAGCCTCTTCCGGAGTCTTAGCATAGTACCCATGCGGTACACAGACTCCGTATTTCTTGAAAACGTTGAGCGATTGATGCTCATGTAAGTTGAGATGGCGAACTTGCAGGCCTCTGGGAGCGAAGATTCGGGGGTTCCTGTAGAGGGTAGAAAACATAGCAGCATTAGTCATTGGTAATACACCACGGCGTATTAGAGTAGAGCAGCTATTGCCTCTGGTTAGGGTTGGCAACATTGATGGGAAACGGGAAGATGTGACTGAAGGATACGAAATGCAACATGAGCAACAGCGATCACGTCCGAAGTCTCCTGATGACCTTCCCCGAAAATCACCAAAGGAGAGTACAAAGGCATGTCAGTCTGACAGTGACTCAAAATACGAGCAGCATGCGCTAGCTCGACGAATGAACTACCTTGTGACGACTACTCGTGGTCTCACGAGAGACTCGAGTAATTTCGGGCGAGCGCTAATGACAAATCGGTCCGTTGACGAATCTCGCGACATCTTCTTAGTCGCTATGAATTCGACCTTGCCGATGTTAGAGATGGAAAGCGCCTTCCTTTAGGATGGGTATTTCTGCCACGGTCTGCGCAGAATCCTAGGTGATGCAAGATACGCTTAGGTTTAACCAAAACATGTAAAGGGATAGCACCTGTGTTGCCTGGGGTAAAAGGATAGACGAAAAAAGGACTCGTCCTGGGTGGACGGGTAAGCATACCATGGGGGAATTTGAAACTATCAGTAAATATCTGAAGTGTCAGTCAGACTGCATGACAACTGCATGATCAGCGCAGAACGACGGTTTCGCTGAAACCAACTCCGATGGCCTTAGGTACTCTCAAGACAGCAGTTACTGACTAATTCTGATTGGATGATATCTAGGCGGGATGAAGCCACCGATCGACATTGCGCGGTTGATCACTGATCCGCTTGCAGCTGATCGGTGGCTTCATTCATGGCGTTAGACTCAAGCAGCTAGAGTACATGTGGAGAGGTGATTAGGTGCCACCTCGTCTCCCTCGCAGCGAGCAGGTGTGACAGTCTGTCACTGACAGAATGCGTTGTTCAGACAGCGAACAACTCGATGTCTCTTGCCTCTGGTAGGGCAGGCCCTTCCCGGAAGGGCCGTTCCATACCGCTGCCTTCCATCGGCGCGGCGGGTATGACGTGGAGACGGTGGCGAAGACACTCGGCTCATTCTACACGATGAAGCAAGGAAACGTTCAATAGTAATGAATTATTACTACTATCATTACTACGACCATTTTAGTGCTGTTGCTACCGTCGCGAGTCCCTTCCCTGCCTAGTAGGCAGTGCCCACTTCGGAAGTGGCACTTCCCTGTATGCATTGCTGAAGGCACCTGCTCCACACAACTACGAGTAGTCATCACAGTGCCTGCAGATTCTCGTCGTGCGAATCGGGGTACAGCGCGGTGCTTAGCTGCCAAGCCTTGGCACTGCCAAGCACCGCGCTGTACATGAACGCTGTGCCAAGTTGACAGATCGAGCGAGTCTGCGAACGTTGGTGTCGTTTTACGGGCAATGCGGGCCACCTCGAGAAACAGAAGTGGCCAAAAAAGCCTATGCCGATCAACGAAGAACGACAAAATCCAAGGGAGACAAGGTGAAGGGTAAACCCGAGACCTCACCCGAAACCCGACAAGGCAACCAGAAACCCGAACTGTTATACAGATGAAAGCTGTTATCAAAGCAACCAGAAATCCGAGCTGTTATACGGGTGAATGCTGTAACCAAAGGCAACCAGAAACCCGAACTGCTGAGAGCGAGCGACAAACCTCCTTGGATTTGGTCGTTCTTCTTTGGAGTTTATAATTTACCCCCGATCAAACAGTGGTAAACTGGGAAATCCATAGTATGATTAGAAACTTGCGGTGAGCGACGCGACGAGAGTAGACGCCGTTTCGGAAGTGCCTATGGTGATTCTCGGTGACGATTCACGTCGCTTCGCTGAGTGTATCTTGTATCTCGCTCACCCTGCGGAAACGCTCAATTAAGAAACGCATGGATAAGCCTATGAACTATCTGTATTCGTATATCTTCATTCACACAAGCTTTGACTATGTCGAGTTCCCAGATCAACCAGGAAGATGCATCGCCCGATCAACACTTCTACTCTCCCGATTCGCTATTATCATCCGAGAAGACCGAGTCTACGCTCCGTCGAAGTGGCCGTCTCCAAGGACATCTACCCCCTCCAGATCCCAGTCTCATAACTCGGGCTCATTCAAGCGCTGAAGTGGTCCAGCATGCCAACAACGATACTGAAGTCAACAGCCATGTCCACAACAACATTAGTGATGATCCCGCATTGAAGCTCCCTAGCACCCGCAATAACGACATCAACGACAACGACGATCTACCTCACGACAACCACGTCAACGACGACCATGGTGAACCCCCGTATGCTGAGTCTATGGAAGAGGAACTGCAGGATGCCATCCCTCAGCATAGTCAGCCTTCGACGATATCTACAACACCAGGCGCTCAGCCACATGACCTCCACCTTCGTCTTCTGAGACCAAGAACATCAACAACACCTGATGCCAATGTTATTGCAGACCAGCCACCCCCGGTATTAACTTCGTTACCTCCACGGTACTCTGAACATCATGTACGCCAGTACCAAAGCTCTGCGGTCGACAACGTTCCCAACAACCATAAATCCTACCCGGCAGGCACTGGTCTACAACATAATCACCCACAATATCATACCCGTGGAGCGGCAATGAGAGACCAAGCCCAGGGAGCTGAAGCTGCCCCCCGATTCGGCAGAGGCACACTTCCTCTGGTTGACTTGACGACTACCACGACTCCAACGCCGAACCCCAACGATGCTGCCACGGTGGCTGCCTTGCATGCGGTAACTGATGCTCTCGCTAATATCACTGACCGCTTGATGAAGCTCGAAGAGAAGTCCAATGCACCATCTACACTCAATGTTGTCGACACCGCCAAGAACGCCATATCTACTCATAAAACATCTATCGCTCCAACAAATTCCGTACGAATCAGCCCAGTGGCAAGTGCAACCTGTCTTGACTCCCACGACGACAACCTCTACACCGACGCCCTTACTAAGGCCATGCTAACAGCGAGCCGAATCAGGCCAACTCCGGACTCCCAACTCTTCACTGGTGCCTCTGACAAGAACGTCGAGACCTTCCTCCACGAGATCACTTCTGATTTCCGTTATATTCTGTCCGACTCCAACATGAAGATAGCCTTACTCCTCTCGTCCATGTCCCAACCCACTATTGCCCATGTCACTTCTCTTTACACGGCTAAGTACGGCTCCATCACTGAAACTGTGGGTATTGATGCCGATACCTTCCTTTCCCGGTTGATCGAGGTTCTGCGCGAGGCCTACACCACCAGTACTGCCCATATGGACGCTAGACTCTCTTGGGAGTCTCTACTACTCCAAGGCCATGTCAGTTTTGTTGATTTCATCAACAAATTCCAGAAGTTACGTACGGAGGTAGGAGCCCTTCGAGGCCGCATCATCGAGCCGGCAGAGGCCTTAGGCCGCCTCTGGGGCTGTTTACCTCCAAGTCTGCGTAACTGGGCAAGTGACTATCTACCTCCACCTGCTGCCCAGGACTTGACTGAACGTCAGTTGCAGTACTACATCACCCGATTACGCAATCATTGTCAACACGGTAGCTATCATCTGGTAACGACGACGACATCCACGACGACGATCGGCACTCCTAACTCGACGACTTTGGCAACCACTACTCCAACAGTCCCTATTCACTCCACAAGCCCATCGACTTCATCACAACCTCAAGTACTACTTAAGAACAGCAACAACAACCCCCAAGGTTCGGCTATCACGACACGACCATCAGCTCCCGCATCTCAGCCTCAACCACGTGTACAAACCAACAACTGTTTTCGCTGTGGTCAATCTGGTCATAGAGCAACCTCGTGTCCTGCACCTCAACCATTGAACCACCAGCGTCGCTGCAAGCGTTGTGGTCACTCTAAACATGCTCTTGCTCAATGTAGTCGGCCTACCTCTGTACAGTGTGCAAGATGTAGGAGAGTTGGCCACTTGGCCAGCATCTGCCTGCAACCGCACTGCACTTCACAAGCTGAGCCATCATCACAACATGATGGTCTGACGTCTACCTCGACTGCGGCACCTCAAGTGTCTCCACCTACATCGACTACATCTACCAGTGCTACTCAAGGCACTCAACTTACCGACAGAGCACAGCAGATCTCCAGTGAAGCACCCCTCCCCCAATGCTATGCAGAATGTGCTCTCACGACTTCCCCATCATCACAACCTGACCAAGCTCTTCATGTTAACAACGACCACCCAATCATTGCTACGTGCCCAACTACGCTGACACCGGTCAACAGTGCGACTCCCCACCCACCGACCTCTCGCACAACAACCAATGTCGACTGTCACTCTCTTCTACAGGGGTCACAGATTCCTGAGGCACCTGTGCTCACCATGTCTACCGAGACCCAACCGGGCGCGCTCTACACCGACTTCAACTTCCTCAGCCATGACTCCACACCCCACAAGGTCCGCGTTATGGTCGATACTGGCTCCAGTCGGTCATACATCAGTCTCAAGACGGTACGCCATTGCTTACAACAACATCTTGTACACTCCTACCGACGGACCACGCCGCTAACCATCCTGACCGCTAATGGGGCTACTTTTAGCAGCGTTGTCCAAGCGCAACTGATACTCAACACTCGACATGGGCCCCGACCTGTATGGTTACACTGTGCCGAGCACTTGATCAACGACATCCTGATAGGAGTAGACCTGCTCCTTGATCTTGACATCATGATACTCATGGCAAAACGTCAACCACTACTGCGAACTCAGGTCGGCCCACTTCGAGATTCTATCATCAAGCTTATCGACACCAAAAACCCCAAGACCACCACCAAGAAACCTCCCACGGAGATCTTCAGCGGCGTTGCAGCTGATGGTGAACTTCCCGTACTACAGCCTGTCAGTAGCTCCTCACAAGCTCAGACGACATCTGTATCCTCACCAATGCCAGACCACACCACGACTACCACAACATCAACAATACACTCTATTAATGCTGATACGACTGTCGACCCACCTCCGGTCCAACCAGCACCGACATCTTCCTACGACCTCGCCAACTACGTGGCCGATTACTTCACAACCATCGTCGCCTACACCGCTGTAGGAAACCTCGCTACCCATGACAGCGTCGCTGACTCCGACCCCTGCCCTCCCCCGGACGTGGCCGTGGACACTCTTACTGTGGTTCCGCAACCTGACGGTTCCTTCAAGCATTATCATCGCCTGCCATGGAAGTCGACCGCTCGACCTTCAACCAGTTTGGCAGGCGTACAGGCACGCACTGAAGCTCAACTCCGTCGACTCTCTTCTCATGACCGCCAGCACTACGACGACTGCATACAAGATCTTCTACAACGTGGAGCCATCCGTCGACTGCAACCAACTGAGTCACCCCATTGGGCGATGTGCCACTTCGGTGTTCGAGGCCATGCACTCTCAACCACACCACTTCGCCCAGTCTTCACTGGCACTCAAATCGGGAAGTTTTTACTACGGCCCAAGGGTAATGTCACCATCAACGTAATCAACCCCCTACTTCTGCTGAGAACCAACCTCCACTACCACATTGAAGATCTGTCGAAGGCCTTCTACTCTATGTACGTTTTCGCCGATGAGGAATTGTGGTTGTGCTTCTGGTATCGTCGTGCGTGGCATTGCTTCACGAAGTGCCCTATGGGGATCGCTCCATCAACTGGTTTCCTGGCTACGAGTATTGAGACCATCTTGACCGACTTACAACGCCACCATTATGCTCGCCCTATCCCAACTATCACCCATGTTGATGACATAACCCAGGTCTTCCGATCAAAGGAAGAGAGAGAGGACACCCACGACCTCAACGTCAAACACTTTGGTAACCACAACTTTCACATGAACAGTCCCAAACGTATAACTGATGACTCCAGGCGAGAACGTGCCCTCGGGGTCTGGATTGATGAGAACGATGCCATCACGCTCTACTCCATCCCACCACTTGGTAACTTCGACTCCACTGACTACGACCCCGTGAAAGGTAGGAGACCCTCTTGGCCAGCAGATGACGTCGATCTCGGCAACGGCAACGCCCCCTCCGAACCTCTTACTGTACAACAGGCGTTCTCCTACGTGTGCGGTTGTTATGATCCACTGGGTCTCGCAGCCGAAACCACTACTAGACAACGCATACTTCTGCGGCAAACCTTGGCGCTCGGTCTCACCAACAATGACATAGTGCCTACTGAGATCTCCGCACAACTACTACAGTGCCGACGACATCTATGCAATATGAAACCACAGCCTCGATACGTCACTCCCTACCTCGACGCCAATTCCAACCCTATCTACTTCGCCTGTGTTGATGCTTCATCACAAGCTGTGGGACTTACTATCACTGCTCGAGGCCATGACCGTGTTATTGCTCACAGCCTTCTTGTACCCCGATCTAAGGCCCTGTGGACTGTGGTTCGTCTCGAACTGCAAGCAATCATTCTGTCCATCCCCTATATTGACCAATTCGTTGACGCCTTCAAGCACAACGACAAACTCCCTCGTATCATCATATGCTCTGACAGCCTCGTTAATGTCCAGAGACTCAACTCTATCCGTGAACCCTCCGGCGACTTGAACAACTGGGACAAGTCCAACATCCACAAGGCCCGACAGCTCCTGAAGCAACGTGGCTACCAACTATGCCATCTCAAAGGCACTGCAAATCCTGCGGACCCCATCTCCAGAGGACTGCCTGTTCAACTACGATGTGACACTGAACCCAAGTACTATGATTCCACCTATCTTCAGAAGTGGATCATCAACGTCGTTGACAGCACCCACAGCGCCACTGCTCCACCATGTACGGTCACCTCTACTAATGTCACCTCCAACGACGCCAACGACGCAGAAGGCGACAACACCAACAACCAAGACAACCCTGTTGTTGTATCACTTCCACAAGTGGGATACTCCGTTGATGTCCTCAAGGAAGCCCAGCACTCGGATCCCCACATTAGTGCCATCATTGCTTCTCTCGGTAATCGTCAACAGCTTCTCAACCTCAGGGTTCAGCTGAAATACTACTTCCTCGACTCTGATGGATTACTCCGATATTATCCTCACCACGAGAAACTACCCCGACTACAAACTGACTGCCCGGTCGTCATTCCAAGTAGCGGTGCGAGAGCTCTATGGTCACGTCTTCACGAAGCACACAATCACCCTGGTAGTGGCTCTGGTCTACGCCGACTACAACGACTGGTCATATGGCATCGGATGCCGAGGGATGTTCGACGCTGGACTTCTCAGTGTATTATCTGCCTCCGTAGCCGAAGAGAACGCCAGGCTAGGAACACTGTCAACCAGTTCCGCATCAAGAGCACAAGACCCCTTGAAGTCATCAACATAGATTACTGTGGCCCATACCATGGAACAAGCGGTTCTCCGGTGGCCTTGGTCGCAGTATGTGCTGCTACTGGCTTCGTTTACGGTCGACTTCTCCCAGATCGGAAGCTCTCTACCTTGATACATTATCTCTTCCTTCTGTTCAACGAGAACGGTTATCCGTCCATTCTATGCTGTGACCGAGATAGCACTATTCTGGCAGCAGTGAACCACCTGGCTTCATGGGGTATTACGGTGGCCACGATACCGGCGTATTCTGTGAGATTGGCCTGGTGGGAACGTGTACACCGACAACTGCATGACCATATGCGTTGCTATATTCTCAACCAACAAGCTGCTCTACAACAGAATGGTGATCCTACTCCACCTCCCCCCACCTACGCTGACACTGAGAAAGCCCTGGCTTCGAGCATCATGGCCATTAACGAGACCCCTCATGGCCCGGGAGGACTAGGAGTAACTCCCAATATGATGGTTCACAGTAACGGTAATGCTATGTTGCCCAACTCACTCGTTCTCAACGACACCAACTCTGATGAGGCCTCCCACTACGTCAAGCGACTAATTCTCACTCCGATCACCGATGAGACAACTGTCCAACAACTCCGTCAAGGCATGGCACTATCACTCCAACAGTACCTACGACTAGCTCGACTACCTGACCTCAAACGCCATGATGGTCCTACAAGGTATCAGGTACCCATCGACCATCCTTCAAGTCGTCTCAAATCTGGTGATCCTTGTTTCTACTGGAGACCCCGTGCTCACAAGCTATCCTCCAGCTGGTTACCCGCAACTTTCATTGCCCGACTTCCCGACACCAACTTCGCAGTTCTGGAGAAGCCCAGTGGTCAGCGTATAACTGAGTATTTCTTCAATGTTATGTGTATCCGCACCTCCGAGGAGTTATCCACCGCTGCTTCTACTACATCCTAACAGTGAACTACCAACACCACATCACCTCCCAAGCAGCATTACTGTCAGCAACTACCACAACAACGAGGGGAAACTGACACTAACCCCTATACCTACATCGTAGACCTTGAACTTCAAGGCTTGAAGTCTGAGACTAATCTTTTTTATATTGTAATGATTGATACAAACGACAGTTAAGTATATACTGTGTACTATTCTCCCACTTTTTGGCTCCCCCCGGGAGTATGGTGATTCTCGGTGACGATTCACGTCGCTTCGCTGAGTGTATCTTGTATCTCGCTCACCCTGCGGAAACGCTCAATTAAGAAACGCATGGATAAGCCTATGAACTATCTGTATTCGTATATCTTCATTCACACAAGCTTTGACTATGTCGAGTTCCCAGATCAACCAGGAAGATGCATCGCCCGATCAACACTTCTACTCTCCCGATTCGCTATTTGCCGAGTAGACATCGCTCGCCTCTAAACGGCGAGCGAGATTTCAACGATCGCAGGATTCGGGTCGATTTGAGGCGGTTTTGCAGACAATCGGTCTCCATGAGGGTATTCAAGGACTTGCCGCAACTGATTTGGTAAATTAATTTTATCGAACGGACAATGTCGGTAGCAATTGTGGGGTATGTAAGCCTGGAACGGTCGTGGTAGGAAGGTGATCATCACCCTTCGACGGGTTTATGATGGTCCTAATCCTGTCATAGTTGTGATTCAGTATGGTTCGTATTAGCTCGACTAGTGTGAGTATGTTGTCGCCGTGTGTTGTCGCGAATGTCGAACTGGGCGGTTGCCAAATGCCTTTTCCCAGTATTCAGTTGATTGGAATACTTGTGCAAAAATGACCACTGCAAATGCAAGCTCATATTCCAACGCGGCTGAAGAGCTGCAAAACCCTCTGTCGCCACCTCCCCCTCCTAGGGCTGGTCGAGCTCCATTCGGCTACAACGATGGCTCTATGCTGATCTGTTGTGATGGGACAAGATTCCCGAGAGCTCCCGCTCTTGCAACTGCCGAGCCACCCATGGAGTACCTAGCCAAGTTGACGTTATATGATGATACGTCTGATTCATCGGATGACTTTCCGTCGTGCACTTTTCTCCCACCAATGAGGCAGTTGCCTCCAGTGGCTAAGAGACATGAGGCCCCGCCCTCGATGGATACCACATCGTCGTCACCAGCATCTGCTGATCAACCTACTGGAGGTGCCTGCAAGTTGAGAAAAAAGCCCGAACTTGTCGGCTTAGCAATCAATACGAATATCGATGATCACGAAGTTGACGTGAGATTCGTGAAAGCGATAAGGAGTAGAAGACTCAAGTAAGTCTAGTTGGCCGCGTTGTAGCCTCACCCCTTTTCATCGTCATTTCCTCTCAGTCAGAACGAGCCCGTGTTCGGGACTGTGGAGTATCACCGGGCGCAGTTACGTGCGCTTGCTACACCGATCTATTGGAATGATTACGATCGCATGCAAGGACCGGTACGTTACGTCCCAATGCGTCGTCATGGGAAACTAATGCATTTCTATGCACCTCCACCACATCTTGTTCTCGCTCGAAGGGCTTATCCTGGTCGAAGGGGTAGTCACCAGTGCCTTCCGTTGGACTGGCTGACCAAGACTTTTAAACGTGTCCGTAATCGTGTTGCTCGAGCTTTGGAGTGAAAACGAAAATCTCGTCATGCGAGTTGATTACATTTGCCAATGCAATGCTAGTGCGCTGAAAACCTCAAGGTTTTTTTATATGAATGAGTGTGGTTCGCTTCGTGATTATTTTTATCAAAAATTTCGTCTCTGGTGTGCAGAAGAGAAGTAGGCACAGTTGACTGCCATGTGGCTGCTCTCTGGTGCCTTTGCAACCTCTTGCTTATCCCCTCGTTGTTGTTATCACTGCGGGCCACGCAAAGTAGACAGTAGATCGAGACCTCCCATCGATTTGTGTTGGTATGAATGTGTTTAAATTAGCAACAAATAGTTAGAAGTGAAATTAGTATGTGCGTTCATCGTTAGATGACGTCGCTGAGGGGCTTGTACCGTCAACCGTTGAAAACGAGACTTGATTATTCCGAGGACTGAGCAAACGGTTAGCGAACGAGGGGGGTAGGGGACGATGTAAAATTCAGTTGTTTACCAAAGGTGATTCTGTTTCTCGTCATGTTGGCATTTAGGATCACTTTCAGGCGAATTCGCGATAAGCGAAGCCTCGATGTCGTTGTGCTATAGTAGTGATCGCGATCTGTGAGCAAAGGAGTTGAGAAGCTCAGTGAACTGCAATACAGGGTGAGTCTTCATCATTTGTGTTAGCCTCTTATTCTCTCTTTAGAGGTACATTATCGGTATGATAAGGTGAAGGCGCGAAGGAAAGGACATGAGATGGATGAAATATGTTGTGAAGTGAAGAAACCCGAAAGGACTTCATGAGAGGTCCACGAGCTATTCTCAGCAGGAGCAGCATATTCTCTAGAGGGAGATATTTGTTGCATGCCACTCCTTGATGCTAACAGATGTTGGTCACCGCATTTATAAGCTTCGAGTTGAATAAAGTTGTCAAACCGTAATCAATAGGCCCACGATGTTAGAGGAGCATCGCACGGAAATGTGCAGACCAGCAGACTATGGCCGGCTTAGACGGCTTCGATATAGTAAGAAACATTTGCAACTCACTTCAAGAGTGGTAGAGGCTCCGAGCTCCGATGGCTTCATTGTTGGTCACGGCTGATGGTCTTGAAAGACAGCAAAACTGTTATTCGTAACTTCATTCGATTTCGCGGTGGAAATCCGCAGTGAGCAAGCGTCCGTATGTAAGTAGTTTACTAATAGATGTTGTACGTCAAACTTTCGTGCGTTATGTTGGATGTGTGTGGTATATGGTCGAGCGGGCATTATAAGGAAAATAGGGAACCATCTTGCTCTTTCAAATGCCAAATCAGTTATCTCGAATCCAAGAAACGCTTCATAGGGAAGCCTTCCGGCGGAATCACGGAAGATTGCCCGCCATTAACTTTCCGAACCATCTTTCTTCGAAAAGCTCCGATTCAAAGGCCCCTCATTTCTCTTTACTTGGACAAGCTCGAGCTGAAGTTATGTATTAGAGATAGTCATACCGAAGGGGGATGGACGGTACGGGTATGGAGCAGTGGTTGTCTATCTTTCCCCCACTCCTAGGAGGGCAATGGAAGGACTAGGCACAACACTCGAGCGAGTGAGAGGTTGCAGTCTTCACTTAACCCTCGGCGGGTTATGTTCATTGGAGTTTCGCACGTGATATGGAAAAACTAGTGACAAACATATTTCACGACTACCGCATATCGCGAATATCGCGTTTTTCACCGAGTATTACGCCACTTCACGTGAAACGGGTGACACTCCATTATTTGACTGGTTATGGACGATGAACGTTTCACTTGTGACTCTCACTATAATCCTCTCCGTCAGAGATATATAACTCTGTACAAGAAAGTCTGCACTTCCTATTCCGCTCATTCGAATCGATCGACTTCGAGCTCATCATAGATCGAATAATGGTAAACAAAAAATGCGTTGTAGGCGGAGCGATGCAAAGAAGTGAATCCAAGGCGTCGTTGTTGTGTCACCGGCTTTGACAGTAATTGTAGCATTCTGATGGCCGTAGCCGCATCAATAGGGATGAGCTCATCAGTGGGAGTAGCCACAGTCATAAGTGGATCGAATCTTGGGGATAGAGCGGCTGGGGGAATCAAAAGTGTAATGTCGACACTGTCACAGTCACCAACAGCAACGACGTCCAAAGCAGATCTCGAATTGCGAAAGATAATTGATGCTGGTAATTGTAGTATTGGGGTCAAGTCCATGTGGTCATTGCTCTCGTATTGGGATCAGGTGTATTACGATTCAACAATTCAGCAAAAGATGGTATAAAATACTTGGTATCAGCTGGGGTTCTAGACGACGACCCTGCGGAAATCGCGGAGTTCCTGGCTAAGCAAGAAAATCTGGATAAGCACGTCATAGGAGAATATTTGGTACTACTACTACGATTCCATAGTGGGTGTAACGACTTGCGGTGATGTGTCAGGGGAAAGATAATGAATTCAATATAGCGGTCCTCAATCGCTTCGCCCAACTGTTCGACTACCGAGATCTGCCAGCGGATGAGGCTCTCCGGTTGTTCATGTGCAGGTGGGTCCTCAGGATGTTGTCTGTTATGTATTAATTCTCCCCTTAGATTTGCCATGCCTGGAGAGGCCCAACAGGTCTATCGTATACTGGAACGTTTCTCTACCTACTATGCTGCTACTTGCTCTTCCCTCAATCGAGACCAAGTTCATGTACAGGAACCGATCTCACTATGACAATGATGCTGATGCTAGTCGTTATTCAGATCCTGGCTTATGCTCTCATTATGCTCAACGTGGACGCCCATAACCCTCTAGTTACGGACAAAATGACTAGAGACCAATTTATCAACAATACCATGCCCGAAGTCAGCCCAGGGTGTACGGCTGAGGAGCTTGGGCAAATGTAAGGCTACTGATCACGTATAGTGGGGGACTGTGATGATGTCAGGTATGATAGAATAGTAGCTAAGGAATTCCGACCAGACACTACTCCACAGGAACTAATGTGGCTTGGGGTCGATGAAAAATGAGGGGGAAAATGTTCACAATTGTAGGTATGTGCGGTTGGCTAAGAATCCTCAGTACTCAGCTGATGAGAAAAATGTAGCAGCATCAGCAGAAGATATTCATCGAATGAAAAAGGGCGACAACTTCTTGAAATTTGGCAGGAGAGGACGACCCCATCCACGACGCGTCTTCTTATCAGAGGTAGTGCATCGCGTTGCATGTAGTTGGTTGGAACTCACCTTCAGGATGAGAGTAGAATATGTTGGATGGAGCCTACGGAGTCTCGTGGTGGTCGGCTAGGCTCGTTGCTCAACCATGATGCTGCCGTGCCACGCGGCAGGGCAGTTGTTACCGGTGGTCGGCCCGCTACGGCCCCGCCTGCTTCTGAGGTTAGCAACGGTGGTACCGGGGGCCGCAGTCCGGATGCTACTAGCGAACTGATGGTATCTGGCAAGGCTATGCCAATAGCAGGTAGAGGAAGTTCAGCTCGTAGTGGTTGAAGGGCACGCAACCTCAGGCGCTGGCGATCTAGCTACTACTGGAGTTTCGGCAACCCACAGTCTGCGCAACATACGGCTGGATGAAGTGACGGGACTATGTGTGGGCACGTCGGGGTCTAGTGTGTTTCGGAAACAGTGGGTGCCCGAGACGGTGGAAGATCGCTGCTTTTCTATAATCACTGAGAAAAGGTCTTTAGATCTGCAAGTAGCCTGGCGGAGGTAGATCAAAGAGTGGAGTTTTTTTCCGTCAGGCACCGCCTGGTGTAGACATGCGTATGTGGTTGAGGTTTTTCCATTATGTGTTATCGGAGAGAGAAGCTAAGATACGGGCTAGCGCTGACCCTGTTAAGGAGGCCCTAGAGATGCAGCGTGCAGGGGCTAAGCGTTTGAGAAGATGGAAGGAGGAGATCCTACCTAACTGGGCGAAGCATTGGACTACTGGTAGTGTGCGAAGAGAGGGGGGGCTTACAACTTCGAGTAATTTCAACATAATGACAATGTGGATCGATCGCCAACGTTTTAGAAGCGTTCTGTAGTCTGTAGTCGTACTCTTAGATTGAAGAAAGCCATCTTGAAAATCTAGATGCGCATAACTATTTGGTTTGCAATGTAGAAAATGGGTATTGATGAGTGTGAATTGGGCATTTTACGGTATCATAAGCAACATTAATTCTCAGCAAGGGAGTAACCGTATTGTCGGTCCTACTAGGTGCCCAGGCTGGGTCCGGAACTCAGAGTAGAAACCCCGAGGGGTTCCGTAGTAGAGGCCTGCGTATGTTGGAAAACGCTACGCATAGGATAATAGTCAGCGATCGGCAGCCCAATGAGGCTCTCACATTCCAAATGTTTTATTCTGGAGGATTCGCCCTCGACAGGGGCCAGAGACTGGAAACGGCAAGGACGCCAACACTGGTGAATCTATGGCTTGAAGGTTAGAGTCGTCTCCGGCTATTTCCTTTTTCGATGTTGCTTTCTCGTAGGTTTGCCTCCGGCATTGCGGTGTAAAATATGGCCGATTGCGATAGGAAACAATCTGAGAATTACATCGGATACATTTTCCACGTTGACGCGAAAAGTTCATAGGGCGGAGCGAAGAAATTCGTGGAGCCAATCGCAGCGTACTTACCTGGCTAGATTCAAGAACGATTTGGAGTCGGATTTGGCACAGGCGTTTATAGGGAAAGTTGTGCAGTGGTTGCATACCTTTGCGACACGAGAGCAGCTCGAAGGCTTTCTGGATGTTGCTACAGAGAACGGCTATAGACGGATGAGGGCCCATGAGAGTATTATGGACGACCAACGCATGATGCGATCGAAGTCAAGTGGCTCTGATGACGATGAGGAGGAGGATAGGATCCGATATTGTGAGTGTGATAGTGATGAAGATCTTGATGGGCATGGGGGGAGGCCTAGTCGAGGGTGTGACGAATGCGGTGTTGCTGTGGAGGCGATACCGAGTCCTGCTCATGGGCTGGCTACTCCCAATACTATACGCTCAAGGGCACCATCGGATTCCATAGGCGGACCATCAACAGTCCATCCACAGACAGACGCGGCGACTTCTGTTGGATCACATTCTAGATTTGGGGACTCGACTGTGATCTGTGAAAGATGCCGAAAGCTGGCCATAAGTAAAAAGTTGAGTACAAAGAGAACATGGAGTGAGCCGTGGGAGAATGCATGGATAGGTGGAGGGAGAGCGGACACGTCTGGAGAGGTAAACTGCGGGGTTTTTTTCGAACTTTTTTCCGATTTTTTTCCAGGATGCGATGATACGGAAAGGGCTGCTGATATTATTGTCGGATCTCATCAAGGCGTTCATTGTGTATAGATCGGATGTTGGTAAGGAGGGAAGTATATGTGTTTGATTGGTGAGAGTTTTGTCAGGCTACGTTCCTGGCATGATATCGCTGTGCGCCACCGTGTTGGTCAATGTCGGACCTCATCCAGTCGGACAAGTTTTCTGTACTCTGGCAAATTTAATGCATCAATATTACTTCCTCGACGTATACATGGTGAAGCGAAGGAATATGAAAATGCGATTTGATTTTCTTGAAGTACCTTGGGGTCCCCGGATCGTGTATGCATACGACGTTGTTGGTCGTAGGTTCTACTGCGGGAGAGGGCGCCTTTCCTCGAGAAGCATTTTTCGATATTGCAGCTAACCCCAGAGGTGTACTTCCTTCCCTGGCTAACCAGTGTCTTCACCCGATGTATGCCGTTTCATGCGGTCTGTCGTATGTGGTAAGCATTTCTATGGAGTCTCATTCGTTTTACGTGAAGTGGTGTGGAAAACGCGATATTCGCGGTATGGAGTAGTCGTGAAATAGGTTTTCCAGTAGCGTTTCTCATATCACGGGTGAAACTCTAATGTTAGTCCGGTATTGATGATTACTATAGTTTCCGCTCAGGGATGGGTTCTTGCTCCTTGGTGAGGCTCATGTGTTCACTTGTGCATTAGCACTACTATGGTATCATGAGCATGCTCTGATGACTTCCGGATTCGGAGGCTGTTTGGAGATTCTTACCTCGCCACCAGATGAGCGCTTATTCGATGAGAATAAGTTCTTTGATTACTATATGAAACTACCGGAGACAGTGGTAAGAGGCAAGACACTGGGGAGTGCCAATACTGCTCATTGTGGTGGTGTACAGGTCCCCAACGAGCGTCTAGGAGCATGGATGGCGGCCCAACGGTTGGGTGAAGAGAAGACCTCCTTGTTTGAGCTATTGTTCTCCTAAGTAGCGACGCGGCGCCTGAGTAGTCTCATAAGCTCCTCTCTGCTGAGCCTGGGGACGAATACTATTGAGGATCGGGTCTTTCCGGAGACTACCTTTTCATTGTCACCATTCTACATATTATCATTGCATAATTGCAAGTAGTCATCATTATCATTACAACAACAATAACGCCAGTTGCCTTATATGAGTGTTGTTGTTAGTCTTATTATGAGGGTCGCTCATCGTCATCATCGGAGCGGTATTTAGTAAGGGAGGTAGCCGCTGATTGTAGGGTAATCAGTGGCTAGAAGATAGCTTATGTGATAGGCTAAGCATATTGCATGCGAATCTCCTTTATAGGACTTCATGGAGAACCACTGAATCCTCCAAGTCCATTCTAAGGTGCTGATACAGCGCCTCAAATTGCGCCTCATTAGCGCCAGGAGGATGATAACATATAACGCCCTTTGAGGACAGTCAACGCTCATGGTCTGGCATGTCCATAGTGCTAACAGCCTTTGGATCCCAAGGTTTGGAGCGTCTAGGGGTGATTACGAGGAGCTAGCCTCGTCTAAGGGCAGTAGATAGTAAATTGCAAGGCAATAGAAAGCCGGTCTACATGCATGGAATACGTATGTCCAATGTGGAACATCCAAGCCGTGGAGATGGATGCCCCTGTGACGGGCAATGTAAACTAGGTGGAAGCGTGTGAAGTTCGATGGTATAAGATCCCTAAGGGAACTCTCTGCAGGGAAGGAGACACTTTTGTTGGCGATTCACACATTGAAAGTCATCAATTTTTTCTTCGTTGTCGCACTCTGTATGCTCTCGTCAATCTACCGCCAAACAGGAGTCCGCATTCTCTTTGCAGCTGCACGTGCTTGCCCTGTCCGTGCCTTCGCGACAGGTAGGCATACATCTCGAGAAAAGGTGCTGGAGGGGTCGTCATCAGGTGCTCAGCAAAGACCAGCTCTACCGTTGGAAAAGGCCATAGCACAGCCGGACTTGCTGGTACTCGATGTGACATCCGAGATGGAGTTCAGCGAAGGTATGTGGTGGAGTGGCTCGTGTGCTCCACAGGCTTGTGATCATGATGTAGGGCATCATCCCGAAGCGATCAATATCCCAACTCAACTCATAGGGGAGAGAATAGAGGAGCTTGGTGCTGACAAGACTCGGCCCATCCTGGTGTACTGTAAGAAGGGAGTGCGAGCTGGTAGTGGGAGGAATACTTGGTAGTTGTCAAACACTACTTTGGGATTTCGCTTAGGTATGGTCACTAATGCTCTGATGCAGAATGGCTTCGTCAATGCATTTGCAACAACTGATAAGAGCACTGCTCAAATGCTGACTGATAAATTTGGCGTTAAGAAGTGAAGACGGGCGCCAGCATTATAACAATTTCTGCAGAAATGAATTGTGTTATAGTTCCGAAAATCTGGACTTTGGGAGTTCAAGTGGCCATGTACTTTTGCAGCCCTCCAGTGGAAGGTATACATAGCGACGTTCGCGCTGCGACAGTATCATACACCGTAATATCTAGCCGCGTTTCTCGCGCCCCTCGTTGAATCGTTTTTTGATGTCATTTCACTGATCAGATTTCCTCGTGATATCATTAGGTGGTCCACTCACTACACGTGCTTCTTCGATATCAGTTTAACCTACAGCTATTTGTAGATGGAGTTACCGCTTCCTGTTCCCTCAGCTGGCTCCATCACAACCTACGCTGCTGTTGGCATCGGTGGTGCTTTGGTCGGAGGGCTCGTAGCAGTTGCTTATTCCCGGAGGTTCTCATCTCATGATGCTGCGCGGGGCGAGGTGGGCAGCAACGACAATTTGGGGTTGGCAGTCTGTATTTAACCTCAGGGCATTTCGCAGCTTCCAAGCGAAGGAGGGCGAATGTGGTTCAGTGAAGTTTCTGAACAGATGTGGCCAGGCCAAGTGAGCGTCTCGGCCTCACAATGATATTGTGAATTGTTTTCTATTGACTCAGTCGATGAGCCTCGAGATTTCGCAGATCCTCTATCACAAGAGGTCGAAGTTCCAGGATGTTCTAGTCTTCGACTCAACCACGTGAGCACACCTGCCAGTCCATGCTGTGAGCCTTTGAGGTTTGTCTCAATTTTCAGATGGGGGAGAGTATTGTGCTTAGATGGAATCATTCAAACCACTGATAAGGACGAGTTCTGGTCAGAGTTCATATCTATAGCAGTGGGGCTCTAAGCAGCTTGAACATCTTTAGTTACCAGGAGGCTATGGCGCACACGCCTGCCTTCCTACATCCCAACCCCAAGAAAGTCCTGGTCATCGGTGGTGGAGATGGTGGGATCCTCCGAGAACTAGCCAAGTGCTGCGAGATGGCTTATTATCACGATTATCATCACAATAACACTTCATCAGGCATGCGTCCATCACGGAGCTCCACATATGTGAGATCGACGGAGAGGTCATTGAAGTCTCAAGACGATACATGAAGCAGCTGTCAGTTGCCTTCGACGATCCTCGAGTTCGCGTACTGTTAGTCGTGCTGCTCATGTTGCTGCTAGTGGGTGCGGCTTTTGTTAGATTCATCTGGAGGACGGCGCTGCCTTCATGAAGCGCCATTCGAGCGAGTTTGACATCATCGTTTGTGACACGAGCGACCCCATAGGACCGGCTACGACTTTGTTCGAGAACGATTTCTATGATGCCATATACAATGCACTAACGTGAGGATGTTGATGTGATGCAATGCTCATCAGAGCTCTTTTTCATTACAGTCCGAACGGTGTTGCCGCAACTCAAGGTGAATGCTACCATCTGAGTATACCGTTGATACGCCGTTTGATCGAGCACTCCAGGAAGCACTTCACTGATGTCCGCTACGCTGATGTTCGTATTCCTACGTATCCTTGTGGACAAGTAAGGTCTGTTCTGTTCCTCTATTGTGGTCCTCAGAGCCTTGTTCCAGATTGGATGCTTGGTGTTAGCAAAGGGTAAGGGGGTGAGGGCCGATGAGCCTGTCCGCACTGTCCCCAAGGAGATGGCGGGTAAGTTGAAGTACTACAGCACAAAGCTACACAGAACACAGTTCACTCTGCCCGCGCAAGTGCATCGGGACATTTATGGTACGGCGATCGAGTGATGGCAGTTCTCGGATATTTTCTGGTCTCTTAGTCGAATAAACGTTTCTTAGTGATGTTTATTGTTGTGCAAGAAATTTCGCGGGTCACGTGAGACGACCCGCACGAAGCATCCACTAGCGTAGAGTGTGTGCGCTTCAGAAGCCAAATGATGATGTGAGCGCAGCCCAGTCAGTATGAATGCGCGTAAGCTTGTCCTACGAGTCGTAAGACATGAGATGATAGGCCATGACGTAAATGATACGGGGACGGACGTCCGACGTAACAGCATGCACTCATTCGTGAGCGTATTATCATGTCACCCGATCTCTCTTATCTGTGTGTTAGGGTATAACAAAAAACAAGTGTACGCGTACATGCAACACTCCAGAGTGTACACAGCTCCTCCCCATCTACTGATCCTTGCGGTCTTGTCTATCGACGTTTGCTTTTTTACATCCATAGGTGGCATGGTTATCTGATATTAGCATCAGCTATT